TGCATTCCAATAGAGATCATATTTCCTCGAGGCCTTGACAACCCTTGTCACTTGCTCGACAAGCTCAACATCGCTAGCATTGTGTTTTGGCATGATCTCATGGATGAAGGACGAGCACACGCTGCTTAGAACAGAGATTGTGCATGCTCCTCACCTCCACGAACATCGCTAGCATTGTGTTATCGGCATGATCTCATGGATGAAGAACAAGCACACGCTGCTTAACAAAGAGATTGTGCATGCTCTTCCTCTCCACCCTAATGGGATTGGTTTGCATTTACATCAAAGCACCTTGAAACAGAAACGTATGACTGAACGCACGTCCTCGTCCAGAGCAAGCTCAAACTCTCTCCCTCTCGAGAAGAATCCTCGGCGCCTATAAGAAAAGTTAGCGTTAGGGTCAGTGTTCAGTTTATCTCTAAGCGTAAGAAGTATATACGCAGATCAAGGATGGCGTTTCTGCGAGCGCAGCGCGTTTTGTACATCCATCCCACAGGCGAAGCGGAACTAGACGAAGGAGTGCTGCGGCACAAGGGGAGGAGAGGTAGGCCAGTTCCCAGCGCTCTGCCCGATGTGGCCGGCCTTCGGGGATGGCTGCAGGAAGAACTGCCTTCTGTGGATTCGGTCCTCGTTCCCGGCGATGGATGGTACAATCCGGAGTACTTACCAGACGGCCCACTTCCTGTGAGCTTTGCGCTTCATGTGCGTGGATCCGAAGGTAAAGTAAATGGTCTTTTGCTCTTGGTCTCCGCTCATTCTTGGCGATGGTGATCAGGCAAGCGACGCAGGGACGAAAACACCGCTGTGACAGTCGCAAGGAGTCAGACGAAGAGGGTGAAGGATTACCAAGTATACGAGCCCATGCTCGTGGAGCCGGATATCCTACTGGGCGGCCGGTCGAGTACCATGCTTGTGGCTCTAAAGTGGCTAGCTTTGCTCGAGCGCGAGGCCGCCAAGGTAGACCTTACAAGCCTGAGAGAGCTCAGGCTTGCCAAGGTGAAGCCAAAGGAGAGCGCCTATTATCCCGGCGTCTTGGCCTTCTTACGAGCTGCTTCGTTTGGTCAGAAAGGCTTGAATTTCGGTGGGCACGGCTTGCAGGGCTTTATATGCGGCAAGCCAAGCGTTTTGTCGGAAGTGAAAACGAAGGTTTTCTATGCAACTGATAAGGATGAGACGGGTATGGTGGCCAATGCTACGCTGATAAAGCAGGAAGCAGACTATCTGAAAACGGGAATCGAGGGAACGGATGAGACGGCTCGTCTGGGGTGCCTGTTTTGCCGCATGGACAGGTTCTGGATTGTCAAGTACCTGCGAGAGACGGATAAGGTTCAGGTGACGCCGGGATTTCCTTTGCCTCTGCAGCTGGCCGACTTCAGTCCGGATTTTGTGCTGATGAAGCTTTCGTGGCTAAATGAGGCCAGCTTGGAGAGCATCAGCCTGAAAGACGTTCTACCTTCTAAACCGATGCCTGGATTCTGTACGTTGGTCTCCTATACGGAGGAATTGCAGCGAATGTACGATCTACCGGTGCTGAGTGTTCGTTTCGTCGGACCAAGCACTGATATCCCGCTCTCAGATCTGACGCCGGTGGCTTATGGCAAGAAGTCTCTTGTGGTGCTCCGACGATCGGCGTTCAATGTCCTCAAGATCTGCTCGCCATCGAGTGCTGAGATGGAGCGACGCATCCATGCAGCATCCGACGGCCACTCCAACGTGCGGAGGCTTGTGAACTGGGGGATGGTGAGCATTGGGGAGAACAATGACGTGTTTGGCTTTCTGGAGCTCGAGGGCTATGGCCAGCCTTTGGGTCGGGAGCACATTGCCGACATGGAAGCGATGGATGATATGTGGAATCAGGCGTACCGGGGGCTCAAGCATCTCCATTCCAAGGGTGTTCTTCACCGGGACGTGAAGCCAGACAACCTGGTCGTGTTTCCGGGCAACGTGCTCAAGATAAACGACTACGATGTGTCGTGCTTCAAAGGCGAGAGCCGTGCTTACAGCGAGATGGTGGGAACTGTCGGGTACCAGTCTCCTTCTGATATGTTGCCGTATGCGGAGGAGGACGACGTGTTGTCTCTGGCGCTCTCTTTCTATGCTCTCAAGTTCGGAACGACAACGACTTCGAAAGCGGGCCGGCTCCATATCTTACTCCGAGAGCTGCAGCCGGATGTTTTCCCTGGAGCAATGATCCAGGCAGTGGAAGAAGCGGTGATGCAACTCAACTTGGAGCTACTTGAAGAAGATTAGTACTAGCCTATTGAATGGTTTGTAAATTAAGACCTTTGTAGCAACACCTAATAATCACATAGACGTGGATCCCAATACGTTGGAGTCTATCAAGTTGGAGTTGTTTTATTTTGTTTGTGGTGGGCATGATGTTATTAGGAGATGCATTTCGCAGTACATGTTCCATGCAGCACTTCTTCCTTCCCCCAGCTTGCACTTGGCAAGTCTACCATACGGATGGAGGTCCCTCCAGCCAGTTTAGCAACACAAGAACAAGGTTGCGGTGGTGGTCGTGCTCGTGTACACAGTTGCACCGGGTGGTGAAGATGTAAAATTGTTTCCTGTTGAAAAATTGGAAAACTAATGGATGTATCTAAAGTTTCAAAAGGCTCCTCTGATGTTCATGGATAACAGGATTACTCCTCCACTCTTTCACAGCATGCTGTGCGGAGTTGATATTCATTTTCTTTTGTGTTGTTAATGTTACTAAAGTGATGGTCTTCATGGATTCAGGTTTAATAATCCCCTCCATTCACTCCTTCATTGTCAATGTTTGGCAACATCTTTATAGTGCCATTTATGCAAGTTTTTAGTTCAATTGAATTGGTCATATACAACTTCATAGGCCATTTCCATAGGGGGTATCATTATATCATCATTGTATTTGATTACTTTAGTCTGTGGGTTGAGGTGTGTATACCTTGTAACATGGTTTGAAAACTTGAGTGTATCCTTTCAAATCAAGATTGTGAAAAGCATTGACACAATTTTCCTTTACATAGGTTTATAATTATGAATCTCTCTTTTAAAAGTAGGTTTTATTTATAATTTTCTTTTATATAAAAGTGATTTAAATGGGTCTTAAAATAAATTTCTAAAACTAAGATTTGTGTATATTCTAAAGATGATTTATAAAGTTTGTATAAATCTATGGAGTAGGTTCACAAAATTGATTTATAAATTTTTGGTTTTAAATAATTTTTAAAATTAAGTTATTTTAATTACAAAAGGTTTATTTAGTGTATTTATAAAGAAGATTATGTTATGGTCTATATGATATTATAAGAATATTTACTATGTAAAAATATAATAATTTTTTCAACTAGATAACTTTGTTTATAATTATATTTTAATGGCTGTATAAGAAATGTTTTTCTGCTAATATAACAACTTAATTATTTAACCAACTAAAATATAATTATATTCACTATAAAACTATAATTTAATTAATTTAATTGCTCTACGAACAGCTCTCTTGTGTGTAAATATTCTAGAATACTTTACTATCTAATGGTTGTTATTTATTTAGATTAATCTTGTATTTATAAATTGTAAACATGTTTCTAATTATAAACTTCCATTTGATTAATTGGATTAATATATAGGAATAACACTACTACTAAGCAAATCAAGTGTTGTTGTGTATAACATATTATTATTGACTTAAGCTATATAATTAAACAGCAAATCAAGTTTTAAAATTTACATACTTATATTTTCTCAAATTAAATAAATTTATGTAGCCCTTTTCCTTGAAGGGGATTAAAATAGATTATTCTTTCAGAATATTTTTTAATATTTTTTGGATGAATGAATATTCCAAATGTGATGAATTTCTTTATCCATTTTGTTAGTGTATATTTTTTATATTCCATTTTTCTCTTACCACCTCTTTGATATGGCAATGAATATAATTGTGTATATTTGTTATAACGCTTAAATTATCTATCATATGTAGATTTATTGTTTGTTTTGAGTTGCATACAAAGATATTATGCACACAATCACTTTTTAATTGCTATATTAGCAATCAAAATGTGATTATGTATATAATATTTTTGTAGTGGGATATACCCTATATACATGGCATGACATCATAATCTCAAACAGCATGAAGTCACCACAAATTTAACAATCACTTTTTTGTCTTGTATCATTGAATGCAAATTTATAATCTCTTGATCATGATAATCTCTTTACTCTTATTTCACACAACTGTGGCTCATTTCTTATAGTTTAGAAGCATAGTTTTATTGTAACATTCCCTTGGTCCCCACATCATATGTTGCAAGAAAAGCATTTAAACCACAATAACACTCTTGAAGTGATACACCCCTTCCTAGCCTCCTAACTTATAAAAATGAGATATCAGTGCAATGTACATTGGTGTAAGTTTTTGAATTTTCATTTTTTGGGAGATCACTCAACCCAATATTATTCAAACCCAAATATCCCAAAATTCTTAACTAATTAAAAAAAGATTGCCCTTACCCTTTATATTTGAATTCTTATAGATCTATTTTTTTTGTTACTTACAATTAATCCACTCCAAATAAGTGTCAAGACCCCCAACAAGATCAAGACTGGAAAATGCTAAAGACAAGAGAAAAAGCTAGTGAAAACAAAGAAGAGGCCTTAGACTGGTGTTGATTCAGATTGTGGAGAAATGGAACAAAGCTAACCTATATATACTATAGGTTGATGAAGCTCCACCACTCTTGGATCGAGGACGGCCTAAATACAGCTGAGGTCGAGGAGGCGCCACATCATCATCAGGAATGTGGCTCGAGACTCAAGAATCGGGAAGTGTCTCGAGACTTAGGAATCAGGAAGTGTCTCGAGAGTCAGGAATAGGGAAGTGTCTCGAGAGTCAGGAATGTGGTTTGCAGGTCAGGAATCCGGTGAGAGTCAGGAATGTGGCAAGAATTGGGGGATTCTTGACAGCACCCCCTCCTCAAGAACGAGTGGAACGAGGATGTGAACGAGAACGAAGAGGAGGATGAGATGAGCGGCGAGGGATGGGAGATGGAGAAAAAAAATGAGGACTAGGACGAGAAGGATAGCAGCGGTGGAAGTCCTGAACAAGGTCAGGAGAATGAATCAGGTTGTCCGCAGGTTCCCAAGTGCGTTCCTCAGGTCCGTAACCCTTCCAGTCCACCAGATAGTAGAGTTTAGACCGTGAAATCTTGGAATCAAGGATGTCCTGAACCTCGTACTCAGACCCATCCTCGAGCTGCACTGGTGGAGGCGGAGGAATGACCCGATTTGGAATAGGACTGGGAATATAAGGCTCAAGGAGAGAGGAGTGAAAAACGGGGTGAATTTGATATGAGGAGGGAAGTGCAAGGCGATAAGTGACAGGATTAATGATGGCAGTGATAGGGAAAGGACCAAGGCGTTTGAAATCGAGTTTTGGACAGGGCCTGTGTGAGACACAAAATCCCTAGGCCCCAAAGTGGAGCCGGAAGGGTGCCACGTGGTAGTGGCCGAAGCGAGAGCCAAACGAGCGTAACACGTTTGGACCAAAAGCTCCGACTTG